AGTCCGACGCCGGCGCCGTCTTCCTGGCTGCCTGCTCCAGCGGGGACACGGAGGAGGTGCTGCGGCTGCTGGAGCGCGGCGCCGACATCAACTACGCCAATGTGGACGGGCTCACGGCGCTGCACCAGGTCCGGGCTCGGGGGGCGGCCGACCCGGGCCGGGGGGAGGGCCCCGGGACCCTCTCCCTGGGAGCGGGGGTCTGGGGACGCGGCTGCCTGGGGCGGGCAGGTCGGGAGGGCTGGCGGGGAAGAGGAGAAGGAGGCAGAAAATATCTCCTGTGCTGGGGGTCACTCCAGTCCGCTGCCCCAAGGCTTTGTGTGCTCTCTGCCCCTCGGTCGCGTTTCCTGCCCCCCCCCTCCCCCCATCTCGCTGCACTTTAGAGCCTTAAATCTGTGTGTGTATTTGTGTGCTTGTGTGTGCCTGTGTGTAGGCAGCTCATCTCTCTCTATCTGGTTTCTAGGGAGAACCAGTGTCTTGTTCCTAATATAGAAACGTGTGTCAGTTGCCCGTGGCCCTCACCGGTTTCTTTCGCAGTGTGGTGGGAGCCTAGCTCCAGAGCCCTGCCAGGCTTTTACAGTCTGTGGATTGCTCTCCTCTTCCCAGACCCACAGAAAGCTGCAAAAAAAATAGGGTCCCCCTGGCTTTGTTCTTGGGGTTTTGGCAACGGGATGGACCTTTGGGTCGGGGTTGGGATCGGGGTCAGGGCAGGGGGTGGAGGGGGATGGCAAGGAAACGGGCTGTGAAGTTTCGTCAAAATGGATGCTTTGTGCATGGTAAAGTTTTATAGCAGTGCGATTGGAATCTCCAAACATTAGCCAAATAAGGCAAGACTGTGGCAATCCGGAGATAATGCGGGTTTGCCTGAATAGTTTTCGTTTTCTCTGAGCGGGCCAAAAGCTCAGGCAGCATCTTAAGTTCACCGAATGTCAGGAAAGCAAGAATAATCTCTTTGACAGGTTCGCTTTTTTGGGGGGGGGGTTTTGTAAGTTTCTATGTTGCTGTTCAGGAGTTCTCCAAACGCTTGGTCATAATCACTCGTTTGATCTGGTAGAAATCCTCCCCTGATGCGCTGTTTAGAAGCAGTGTGGTGACAGTGTCTGGTTGTACAAACAAACTTGACATAAAAATAAGTATGATGAATGTCTCCTTGTTTAGCATCACAATTAAAGTACCCTGTTAGATAACTGGTTTTTATACTATGCTCTAATGCACTGTGTTTAATTCTTTGGTTTCACTGTAAAAGCTGTCAGTTGCTCTTCCATTGAGTCATTAGTCCTGTCAGGGAATTGGTATAACTTCTAGTTGTAAAAATAACCAAAAGAATGAAATTTAATGTGTATATGGGGTTAAAAAAAAAAAGCAACGTATTAACCATTGGACAGTATATTTTCTTATAATCTGCCATTGTACAACGAAGTAGTATATTAAAGCCTAGTTTTACCACTCCAGATATTTATTTCTGTTTGTACCACAGAGAACTGCCTCTGCTAGTTAAGCCATATCTTATTTGGTTAGATGTTAATATGTAAGCAGTCACTTTCAGGTCCAGAATCTATCGAACCCTTAACGATGCAAAGAAAAGAATGGTGCATGGTTTGTTTTGTTATTGGTAGAAGAACAAATTTATGAGAATTCCTGTTTTTGGCAAGCTGGAACCTTCTTAAAAAGTGGAGGAGGAGTCTCTGTCACTTCTACAATACTGTAATATAACACTTTTTTTGATGTCACTCCACCTTTCTTCTGTTGAACTTTTGCCCCTCCAAATGGTGAACTGGCTGCAGGAAGCAGGAGGTCAGTGTAACTGCAGAACTCTTTTGCTTGAACTCCTGTTTGCCTCGCTCATCAGTTACGTTGCAGTGATACTACAGTAAAATGGTGTTGAGTCTTCTGTCAGCAAACATCTAGTTAAAAAACAAATTGGAGAATTTTAATTCTGAACTGGCAGTTTTCTTTATGTAGCCGAATAAATTTATGTTCCCTGAATGTTTGTTGGATTCATAATGTCCCTTTAACTGACACACAGCCTTCATTTTAGTAAAATTTTCTCTCCTGTTACATAGCACCTCTCTAAATTAAAAATGATAAAATATTAGGTACCTCTTTGAGTTAGGGAAACCCCATCCATTACCAGAGCTGTCTGTGTGTGACAGATAAAGCCATGCCTACTCAAGGATAACTTCTGAAAAAGCTTCCTGCTCTTGTAAATCTTCCTTTGACTTTAACTAGCATCAACAATGTTGAAAGACCCATTGTAGTGGGGCTGCCATGGTCGCCCTCACTGAAGTGCTGTCAGTTAGTTTAGATTGGTTTACTCATATGAAACAACAGTTTCTGTCTGTTTTCTAAACTGAGGTGACTCCCTCCCACTTTTGGACCACTTTTCATCTTTCCCATTATGCCCCATCCTTTTTTTCTCATCAGCAGCATTAATTACAATTATTTTTTTAGATTTATATTCCGTTCTACCCAGGGAGCCTTGAAATGGCTTTTCTTGCTCAGAAAGGTTCAAAGCCTAGCTCTAATCTCAAATGCCTGCTGTAATATATGGTTTAGTGTTGTAGAACAGGAACATAATCCATCTCTTGTAATTCCTTGTTAACTAGATATGAAGCAGAATAGGTAATTCCTTGTTAACTACATATGAAGCAGAATAGGTGAATGGTTTTCTTGTCTTTGAAAACCTGGTGATTGGTGACAGTTCATAGGCAGTTCAAGTCCCAAATATTTCAGTTAACTTGAGCTTCAGTTACCAGTGTGGCAGTGAGCTGTATTACTTGCAGCCATTGGGTCTCCCCATTAGTCAGTTTGTTCTAAGAGCTAAACTAGTAATTAAAGTACAAATACCTAGCTTGGTAGAATAAAAAGCTTGTAAGACAAACTGGCATGTGTGGGTTTCTGTCCTTCCTGTGTAAGAAGAAAAAAAAAAAAGTGCTTTCTGAGTATGCTTTATAAAGGCCATGAAGTACTGCAGACTACTTTATGAGATGAATAATCTGCAAGTGCCTCTCTCTTCCCCCGTACCACCTACATGCTTTCATTTTACCATGATTTGACACTCCTGTTAATAGTTGATTTTCATTTTATACTATGATGTGCAGAAGTAGGTGCTTGTTAAGTGCACTTCTTAGAGGATGCAGCAGTTAAAATTACTTGCAGAATATTCTTATCATCTAGTACTCCAAAAAAAATCACCAAAGATTGTAGTACATTAAAAACCAAAAATTCTTTAGTCTTGTCCAGGTTAGAACAGATCCTGATGGTCTCTTCTGGGCTTAAGGTCTTTTGACTCTGAATTCTATTTTTTTTTCTTTACTGGGTAGGTCATAGTACGTTTTGTTATGCTGTACTGGGGCTTCATCACTTGAAAATGGCTGTAAATTAGCAATTGTTTTTAGTGTATATTGCCAGGAACTACCAGACTTATTTATTTTTAAATTCTTGGTCTCAAATTGATATTTATTTATTTAAATGGTAAGATTCCATTAACTCAGTGGAAGTTGTAAAAGCCAGTTATTCTCTTATTTCTGTATTACTTTATAGTTGTCAAATGAATACATTTAATATATGGATTGCGTAGAGTATTTGTTTTTGTCATAATCTATCTTGCCAATTTTGTGCAGCATGGAATAAAAGGAAAACAAGCTGGAGTTGATACATGATGCCATGTGCTCCTTGCTAGAATACAATCTCTGGGGAAGTGGAAACAGGCAGTATAGAAGATTCTGTGCTACCACTTGCAATAAATCATGGATTCTCATTGCAGACTATTGCTTAGAGTCAGTTTAGGGACTTGAACAACTTACATGAGTTCTTGCCTAGAAGTATTGTCTTTCAAGTTTTTACAAGCAACCATTTCCAGAAAACTTAGAACCTTATTATTTATTGTTTGCTTGTTTGTTTGTTTTGTCCCATCTTAAATTCTGGGGAATATACTGTCACATCTTGAAGCATGGGTTTATTTCTACAGGTCTGAATAGTGACTCTTATCAGTATAGGCTTTTTTCTTTGGGCTCATCCTGGTAGTATTTGTGAAGTGCTCTATGAGTTCTGTTTTTTCTGTACTAATAAGGTATGGGAAAATATTTGAATATTAGCTGGCTGTGTATACTGGGCAAAACAACATGGGTGCATAGCTGCGCACTTCATACGTCGGTGCGGGCTGGCTTCAGAGTCTTACTTTTCTGTGAACTCCTTTTCCTATATAAATCAATCTATGGTAAAGGTTAGTGAAGCTAAACAGCTTTTTAATGGCAGAGGGAAGGGGAGAAAATTCATATCATAACTTCGCTGTTTGTTTTCCTAATATACAGTATTGGGCTATCAGCACTAATTAAAAGGCCAAATAATACAAGTTATTCACCAGAGAATTGTACAGTAATTTCTCATGCTTGCTGATGGACAGCTGACTGAGCAGCCTTGGAGATTTCTTGAGTACGCAGTTTATCTTAGTGTTTACCAGTCTCTGAGGTGATTATTTTGGGCTCAGTTTGTAAAGCCTTAATTTCTTTCCTTTCCTGCATATATGTGTTCCATCACTTTTACTTGTGTGTGGTCATAAGATGAAACATCTTTCAGTAGTATGGGTGATAATGTCTCTGAAAGAGCTGGAACAGTGAAAAAGAGCTATTAAAAACAAACAAACAAACCCCCAAACCCAAACACACTGTGTTTCTACTGATAACAGCGCTCAGAACACAGTTGCAAGGCTGTTGTTAAACCCCCTTGCAGGTCCTGGGATAAGTATGTATCTGTGGCCAGAGACGGGCTGGGTAGGCTGCTGCAGCTTAGTTGTTTTGACTGTTTACATTACACTACAGATCACAGAGCATCCTGGAATCAGGAAAAGGGATCAGTGGACCCCCTGTTCTGTGACTTCTGCTTTGCTTTTTAGAGGAAGAGCATAATCTTGCCACTTATGCCAAATCTAGTGTTATTTTTTTTCAAGCCTAATGTCACACTTACCACAAACATGCCAGTTGTTAGCAAAGAAATCTGCATTTTGATTTTTTTTTTTAAACTGACGCATCTTTTTTTGCTTGCAAAAATGTTTCGGGTAACATCGTATCATTAGACATGAGAGTTTTAAAAATCTGTTAGAGGGCCATGAATAGTGACCATTCCTCTTACC